GGACCACTCGTAAATTTTGTTCGTATCTGAAAAAAATCTTAGAATACGAAAACATTGGTGAATGCCACAAATTCTCCTAAATCACTCGTACGCACAACTTCTGTGCATACGAACAGCTCTTGCAATGAGGCCCAATGATTCTGAAGTAAGTGCAGAGGTCTCTGTGATTCTATATTGGGTGAATATTTTTAAATAAAGTTACAGTAAATATGTTAAAAATATAGAAGTTACTTAAACCAAAAGTCACAGTATCCATCTACAGAATGAGACGAAGATTTTAATATATGATTGACACAAATAACACAAAGCGTGCAGGAGAAATTCGATTGCAAAATCGTACGGAAAAATAATAACATAGTGTGAACGCTGAGTCAGCATTTACAAATGCACCACTGAATAACAGTGCTTTAGTAAAAACGCATTGACAGCCTCGAGTAAAAGAAGCTTAGCAGTACATCTCTTGTTCACAAATGCATAACATGTTTGAAATTGTGTCTTCTTTTGTTTTTGTGCAGTGACACCAGTTGCTAACCGCTGCACCGGTTGTGAATCTTGACCCCCCCCACCTCCCAGTCCATCCTTTGAAGCACTCCCCAGCATGAGCTCCTCTCAAGCAAACATGGACATCCTGGATGAGCTGCAGCTGATCGCTGCCCAAAACCTGGAGAAGCTGGAGGTCAACAAGTACTATGAGGTGATCAGGGAGTTGGGCAAAGGCACCTATGGCAAGGTGGACCTGGTCATCCACAAGATCCGAGGTGAGGCAAGCCCTAAAGGCATGCTGCTTTAATATGAAAGGACACAATAAGAACATTAAATTGATTTCTTTTAATCTTTTCTTAAAAGGTACAAAAATGGCTCTGAAGTTCCTGAAGAAGAAGACAACAAAGCTGAAGTCTTTCCTACGGGAGTACAGCATTTCTCTGTACTTGTCCCCCTGCCCCTTCATCATCAACATGTTCGGCATCGCCTTCGAGACAGACGACTACTACGTCTTTGCTCAGGAGTACGCTCTGGCAGGAGACCTCTTCGATATCATTCCTCCGCAGGTGAAGACGTAGAGCTGATCAAATGCGGTCACTCTGGAGTTCTACTGCCTGAGTTTGGTTTTGATTTTAGTGCAAATCCCTGACCCCATTGGAGCCATTTTGATCAAATCTGAAAAAATAACTATGATCAATCACTTTATAATGTGAGTCAGTCTTTTAGTGCTCAGAGTGTGTTGGGGARGAGTCTCAGCCACTACCACTGGGGCTGCCACGATTATTCGATTAATCGACGACAAATCGATTATTAAAATAATTGATGACTAATTTAATAATAGATTAATCGTTTTCTTTTTTGTTCTTTACTTTGTTTTTCTCTCCAAACTGCTTTGACACCTTCCACTGCCACATCTGCCTTTCTGTCCTTGACACACATGCACAGTAGTGGTAACTGGGGTAGGCCGTGGACGTCACAAGACATTATACAGACAGGCTCTGGTATCATGGCTACRTGACAACGGAGCTCAAAGTGTGGGATCATTTTAAGAAAATGAAAGAGAAACCTGTACAATATCTGCAGAGCAGAACTTGCCTTCCACGGCTATTATTTTTAGTTAGCATATAGCTAAAATCTAACTATGGTTATATAATAGCAGCTGCATTCTGACGTGATAAGCTGTATGTTTTATATTCAATTWACGTATGATCTGATTAGTTGACTAATCGAATAAAAAATCGGTGATTAATCGATTATTGAAATAATTGTTTGTGGCAGCCCTAACTACCACATCAGGTTTTAACTCAGTATCTGTAAAATGGAATCGAACAGGTTAAATTTGATTAGCTATGGTGGCCATCTTGAATCGGGTTAACTCCCTATGTTAATCTCTTGTTGTCAAACATCCAACAATTACATCCTTTGTTGTTTGATGTTGATCTGTCGTTCGGCTCATATTAACCTTTATTTATAAATTGCTTTCTGACTGTTCTGTACGTGTCTCCTCCCTCCTTAAGGTTGGTCTTCCTGAGGCGGTGGCAAAGCGCTGTGTGCACCAAGTAGCCATCGCTCTGGACTACCTGCACTGTAAGAAGCTGGTCCATCGAGATATCAAGCCGGAAAACATTCTCATTTTCGACAGGGAGTGCCGCAAAGTCAAGCTGTCTGACTTTGGCATGACCCGTCGAGCTGGCTCGCCCGTGAAAAGAGTGAGTATTGTCTTTCGCTTTCAGACTCCTGACATGTGTCTTTCTTGTCTCTGCCGTGGCTGACCTGTTGGGGTTTCCCCCTCCAGGTGAGTGGCACCATCCCCTACACAGCCCCCGAGCTCTGTGATGTGTCCCGCCATGAGGGTTTCTGCGTGGACTACAGCACCGACGTTTGGGCGTTCGGCGTGCTGCTCTTCTGCATGCTGACCGGGAACTTCCCCTGGGAGAAGGCGCTGCCCACCGACTCGTTCTACCAGGAGTTCGTCCACTGGCAGCGGAGGAGGACGAACACGGTGCCGTCGCAGTGGAGGCGCTTCACCGAGCAGTCCCTCCGCATGTTCCGCCGACTGCTCTCGGTTGAGCAGGACCGCCGCTGCTCCGTGAAAGAGGTGTTCGGCTACTTCAGCCACTCCTGGATGCTGGATTCAGAGAGCGACAGCAATGGCAACGCAGGAGGCGGAGGCGGCGATGGAAGGGAAATGGTTGGCAGCAGCAGTAGCGGAGGAGGGGGAGGAGGAGGAGGAGGAGGGAAGACGCGAGGAGACATGGAAGGCACCAGCTCCACGTCTTCATCCGGTGAGGAGGACGAAGAGCTCCTGGTGGAGAGGATGAAGCAGCAGACTCTTTCGCCGCGCTCCCCCCTTTCGCCGCTTTCTCCCATGGCGGTCGAGAGGGGCGGGGCCAAAGGAGGGATGATAGAACCAGGCGGGGGGCACCATTTTGTTTCCGTCTCTACCAACAGCTCTGTATCGTCCACCAACAGCTACGACCGGATGCCGCGAGAAAACGGTTCACCGGGGGGCCGCATGCTGGTGGCCACACCCATAGAAATCTGCGTCTGAGCATGACTCATCACTTTTATACCTCTCATCCAACCACAGAGATGTGCATGCATGGGGGGGGGGAACTAAACCTTCTAAACATTGTAGAGAGGGAGAGCACATGTGTCGGAGAACAGTTTTGTAGAACGCACACATTCCTCGTTCTCCTGAAAAGACGACAAAAACGCGTCCTGTTTACAAGATGAGTATCGGTTAGTTTGTCACTAAAACCCTTGGGAAAAAAAACCAAAATGTATTTCTGAAAGCAATACTTGCAGCAAAAAAAAAAAAGAGCAAATAGCATTTTGATGAAGCCAAGGGACAAACGAAACTTTTTTTTTTTAGATAAAGACCGAAACAGCTGAAGAGAAACCCGTATTTTACGGTGCTTTGGTGGTTTCAGGTGTTTCAGGTGTAAGAAAAATGTGAAAGTGTGTTTGTGTGTTTTGTGTGTATGATCCTAACAGAAGTGGGTTTATTTTGTTTTGAGAATTGTGTTGTTTATTCAGATCTAAAAATGACTAGAAAATCTATTTTTTTCTATTTTTTTAAGGTAACTTTTTGTGTTTTTTTTTTATTTTTATTTTTTTTTCTGTTTTACTAATTGTTGTTAAGCTAGCATCCAGGCTCAGCGGTCCTGGATCTTCTTGTTTGTGACGTAACGTGTTTGATGGACTGAAGAATCGCCCACAGTAGGCCTGACTCTTTTTTGTTTTAATCTATTCACTCCTGGAATTCTGTTTGTATAACTTTATTTATTGTAAATCTGTCTGTGTTGCATTTAGTTTAGTTTTTTTTCCCCAAAAATTTTAACTAAAATATTTTTTGGGAAATAAAAAAGACGGCATTAGCTCGATGTAAAACAAAGGAAACAACAGCAGGTTTTTTTCTAACTGCGTGATGAGCAGTTCACCCTTGAGTCCTAAAAAAGAAACAATATAAAGTCCGTATTGCTGCCACCCCAGCAAAAACAAAACATCACCGTGACACGTTAAAAATAAAAAAATTATCATTACCTCCATCCATTATCTTTAACCCACTTCTTCCTTTCAGTGCCACAGGGACACTGGAACCCGTATCCTTTAGTCATTGTGCGAGGGGTCACAAGTCCATCACAAGGCACACACTTTTACAGTATATGTATTTATAACATGAGAACAAAAACATCCCTCAATAGTCATAATTTAAAGTAGAAATTGTATACAGAGCCTGCGAGAGGACATCAGGGGATTTTTCTTTTTTTTGCATTCCGATGCAACACTTTTGCGTGACCTCGCAGTACTGGAATGTTTTGTATTGAATGAGACTTTTATTTTGAAATATCCAGTTGGTGGTGATAATGTGTGGCTGCATAGAGTTAAATATCTGTATAACTCTATGCGTGGCTGTGATATGTTCATTATGAAGCTGAATTAAAGTAGTAACTCCTATATAATAGTGTGCATGTCAGGCTATTAATAGACTGTCAGGTTCAACAGTAAAGAATAAACGTCTGTGAGGTAACACAAAACTTTAATGTGAGAATGCAAAGAAAAAAAATCCTATGTACTCACATTGTTTAAATATAAAATCAAATTTCACAGTCCATAGCATGGCATTTTGTAATAATGTAAAAAGAAAACCTTTTGGGTGATAAATATATTGCATTAACATGGAAATATAYTCTTTTAAAGCAAAAACGAAAGAAATAGAGTCAATAAACTTTTCACAATTCTAGTTTATTTTTGCTTGGGTGACAGCAACATGCTTCTTTAAAAAAATAAAAGTTAAGGGTTTCAGAAATGACTATTTCTTTATTTTTGCAGTAGCATAATTCCTTGCGTTGTTTCCGTGGGTAAAACCAAAACAAAACATGAATTTCTTAATATGTTGAGAAATTCTGGGACTAAAAAAGTAAATATTAACTATTTTTATTGTGTGATGTATTTGCATTAATGTTGTGGCATTATCTCACCTCCTTCAAGAACAGAAAAAAGAAGCATGAGGACACATGCTTTAATTGTTTAGCACAGCTTATGTGTATATTAAAGGGATATTTCAACCCTTTTAAAGTGGGTTCTGTGTGAAAATTATGAAGGATTAACATCCTACCTGTTGCAGATAGCTTCTTAAACAACTTCAGTTTGGAGAAAGAAAAACCTGTCTGACAGGGCTGATGAGCTAATGACTAGTCAGAAAGCAGCTAGGACCAAAGAGGATCGCTGCCATCTTAAAAAACTCAAACCTCCTAAACTTTGCACCGATTCATGCAAACGCTTTTAAAAACCTTTGCAATGTCACCAGTTTTGCATCACATATGTTCACATACAGTTCTGTGATTATTCAAAAGTGAAAGCAGCAGCAGCTAGCTGCAGCACTTCCTGTTTAGCATGCAGATACCTCCTGCAGGAATTTCCTAACATTTTTGCAGAAATGATTATGTAGAACTGACGGCAACAAAAATGTTTTAAATAATAATAACTGCAGACATTTGTAGTTTTAGGGCAACAGCAATTCATTATTGGATGTGTCTGTGCTAACTCACCATTATTGGCTTGTAAATACAGTTGGAGGAGACTTGTGTTAAAATAAGTCCAATCGCCTTCGTTTCGGTCCAGAATTGATGAAGGTGTAAAGGTTTACAAAACAGAGTATTGTATGAAAGGCTATGAAATGTTTGAGACTGGAGCTGTTTTAAACAATTACTCACTTTGGTTTAACTGCATTCTGACCATCAACATGAAGTAACATGACATCCTCATGTCACGCTGATGTTAAAGCTAAAAAATGAATGTGCTCCCTCTGTAAACTGGTGCCAGGACGGTTAGAAAGTTCATGCAAACACAAAAGACAAAAAAATTTAAATACTCATTTTTTCCCCAAACGTTGACTTCTCCTTTGAAGCTGTATTTACAAATATTAACTTTTTATTGTTTTTATTGTCAAATTAGTTGATGCTTAAAAAAAAAGATTGTGTGCTGAAGAGTAGGCGGGGCTTATAGCCCCACATCCCAACCGCACAGACTCTGGTTCCAAAAATACATCCACATCAGCTGCAGTGTAAACAGCAGGGAGAGGAGAGGATGCTCCTGACGTTTCATTACCTCATCAGTTCTGTCAGACGTTATTTCTCCCAGCTGAGGTACAAAAAACAATCTAAATATTAACTGTTCATACTTTTCTCCTAAACCCCTTTAAAATGGCCAAAACATCCATTTAAATATCAGAGTTTTCTCTTTAATTGTTTTTAGTATAGAAAGGAGCCTTTTTTAAAACCAAGTTCAAACCCATGATAAAAAAAAAGAATCCATTTCTTGCTGACTCTTCACGAGGATCACATAACTAATCGAAGAAAAGCGCTGAATCATGTYCAGGAATGGCTGCTGCTTTCCAGACCTAATTCTGCATGAAAATGTGTATGTGCTACAAAGCTTTGTTGTGAAGCCGTGCTCCGTGTTTCCCCACTCTACAAACTGTAGTTCTCTGTAGCCGTAGACTAGCAGCAAACGTTTCTTTATCTTGTGAGAGTCAGTAGCCTCAGCATGGATCTAACAGCCTGAGGAACAGCTACCCCCCCCACCCATTGTGTATTTCCATCATGTTCTGCAAAGCCGCTCCCCACATTCATGAGTGCATATGCAAATGACTACATCTTGTGACAATCTCTGACCTCATTGGCAGCCATTTGACTCAGAACAAAGGACCACCCTGGTACGGATCCTGCTGAAGTTCTGCGTCGGCCAGCCACGAGCGGAGGCCTGCGCGTGAGCTCACCGCTGCGGCCCCTCCTCTGCTGCAGCATCTGAGTCAGGCGGCGCCGCCTGGACATCTCACCCATAACGTGTCGTGTTGTGATGGAGTGCCACCGTCTTTCAGTTTGGTGACCATGTTTCAAAGCATCAGAACTTTAGTGGCGTTTTAGTGAGTAGATGACAGTGGCACTAGAACTTATACCCCTCCCCCAACCCCAGTTTTGTCTTTGCAATACAACTGTCTTCCTGTAAACTGAGATTTAGTCAATAAAATGAAACTCCATGTCGGCGTCGTGTCTGGATTTTGMTCTGATTTTAGCCCAGGAGTTAAATTACGACATGCATCATACATAACACAGTATCAGTACCAATAATGTTTACTGCGTCACTTTCCTGTTCGTTCTATTCAGCATAGGCCTTTTTCATTTCTGAAAACCTGTGGACAACATTTAGTATTTTTATTACCTAATGCAAAATTCATACAATAATTGTAAAAAATGTCTTTTTAAGTTGCTTGTAAATGTAAAGAAATTCTGATATAGTTGTAAGCACTCTGAACATTCTAAGAGCTACAGAGGAGCTCAGGGTCAACGTGATGAC